CACTTTTGCTTCCCGGCGGCCGGACTGCCCATTCACGCTTCAGAATCCCGATAAACCCAACTAAAGGGTCGACATGTGACATTAGCCAGCAGAGTCCATTGGCTGATCTAATTGTACGATGTCGGTTGATCATTTGGGACGAAGCCCCGATGATGAATAAGTATTGCTTCCAGGCAGTTGACAACACGTTACGAGCCTTAATGCAAGTGGTGGATCCATCGAGGAAAAATCTCCCTTTTGGTGGGAAGTCTGTTGTATTTGGTGGCGATTTCAGACAGATTCTCCCTGTTGTGCCTAAAGGCACTCGGAGTGATATAGTGAATGCGACCATCAATTCGTCCAGCTTATGGCGAGATTGTATCATTCTGAGACTTACTCAGAACATGAGGCTTCGAAGCCTTGGTGGGGGCGGTGAGTACGATGAGTTGAGGCTTTTCTCGGAGTGGCTTGCAAGCATTGGCGACGGTACTGCTGGTGGACCGAACGATGGATGTGCTGACATCGACATTCCCGACGACATTCTTCTGAAATCACAAGGTGATCCTATCGCTTCTATTGTGGAGAGTACGTACCCAATGTTTAGGAGTTCGGGCGACGATCTTAGCTACTTGAAGGACAGAGCTATACTCGCTCCCACCCTTGATGTTGTTGAGTCCGTCAATGAGTACATGAGCTCATTGAACACCTCCGAGGGAAGAACTTATTTGAGTTCGGACAGTGCTTGCAAGTCAGATGCTGGATATGACTATCTTCACGATCTTCACACTCCTGAATTTCTCAATGGGATTAAGTGTTCCAGACTTCCCAACCATAAATTGCACTTGAAGGTTGGCACTCCAGTGATGCTCCTCAGAAACATTGATCACTCCATGGGGTTGTGCAACGGTAATGTTGATTAAAATTCGATATATTATGTATATTTTATTTTATTTTATGTACAAATTCGAGTTATTTGTTTTTGTTCTCCAAATTATGATTTCAACAGATACTCGATTGGTTATTACTAAGCTCAGCAGCCATGTCCTAGAATGCAGAATTTTAACCGGTGCCAGAGCTGGTGATAAGGTTCTTATTCCTAGGCTCACGATCATACCATCCGATTTGAGGGTACCGTTCAAATTTCAACGCAGGCAATTCCCCCTCATGGTTTCCTATGCTATGACAATCAATAACAGTCAAGGCCAGTCACTGTCGCACGTCGGCTTACTATTGAAAAGCCCTGTATTTAGTCATGGGCAATTATACGTGGCGCTTTCTAGAGTAACGAGTCGGAGGGGCTTGAAAATTCTAATTTGTGCTGATGGAGATTCTGGCGATAATAGAACCACGAACGTTGTATATAAGGAAGTGTTTAATAATATTTAGATTTTTTTTCGTGGGCTTTTATCAAGTGATTGTGTTATTATTTTTCCTATTGTCTACAATTTATTGTATTTTTTTCCTCTATCACATAGCTTTCTGTGAAAATAAAAATTAATTGACTAGTTCTCCGTGCAAATGCACGGGTTGCAACTAGTTGAATTAACTACCTACTGTAAGGTTAAGTTCGTTGGGTAACCGAACCGAACTTGTGTTTTTTGAACGAACCGCAACATTTCGGTAACACCAAAATGTAGAACCGACTTGTTGTCGGTTACCGCACATTTGGTAACCGAAAGTTCCGGTTCAATTTCTGTTTTTACCAAACTTACGAGCACGGGAGCGAGCACGGGAGCGAGAGAAGCTAGTGGCGAGCCTGGGAGCAGGATTTGGGAGAAGCTAGTCGCAGAGGTCAATTGTGATTTGGGAGATTTGAAATTTGAGGAATAAATAGGTGAGAATTGAGAAGCGGGAGTAACAGAAACAGAGACACAGAGGTGAGCTAAGCTATGTTTTACTTATATTTTATTACTAGTACAACACCACCCGTGTATTACACGGGTGCTTGCTAATTTTTTTCTTAAAATTTAAAATTAATGAGAAAAAGTAGTTTGAAAATTTAAATACCTTTTATAAGAATATATTTATTACATATTTATTATGATACTTTTTAATTGTGCGACTTACTTGTGTTATATTATACTAATTTTTTAACTTACACTATATCCTCCCTATATATAATTCCAGAATGCGCTGAGTCTACGTGGCTGCTTCTGGTGCTTCGGAATCCTATTTGGCGAAGAATCATGCTTCCTAATTAGGTTTGAATGAATAATATTGATATATTAATAATTAATAATCTAGCTTCGGGTATTCCATAAATATTATATAGCTAAATCAGGTATTTTAATATCACTTTTACTAATATAACCCTTTAATTTTTTGTAATTTTACATAGTGAGACACTAAGTGACTAATATATCCCTGAATTTTGATTTGTTTCCTTCAATAAGCTATTGAATTATAAATGTATTTTAAAAGTTGATAACTTTTGTATTTCTTATCAGTTTTACATATATAATATATCAAATTAATCATCTTTTGATGATCTTCGATTTGGCATCCATATTGTATATGTGAAATAAATATTTTACATTTATCTTTATAATAAAAAAATAATAATATTTATTAAAATTCATTAGAAAAATAAAATTATTTCTCAATTGATATATTTATATGTAATGTAGTTAATCTAGTTATGGATGGTGGTAATCAAAGTACGTACACATAGAGAGCACACTTTGGCTTTCTCTATAACATATAAAAATATGTAAAATTGCTTTCAGAATGATCATTAGAATTGGACAATTCGAAGTCATACATCTGAGAATCGTGCATTTTCTTTGTCTTACAGCATTTGTCCTTTTGTTACATGGCTTGTCCTTATAAACTGGAGGTTACTGTTTAATGTATAGTGGTTTTCTTCGTCTTCAAGAGCAAAGACTGCAAATTCATGCGTGTTATTTTGCCTCTTGTCGTGTGTTAAATGAGAATGATCAAGTTCCCTGAAAAAAAAAATAAATTCTTGTGTGAGACAGAGTAATCGTTAGATGAGTCGATCTATCATACAAGTTATACAAAAATACATACTCATACTATCAAATTTTATACTTCGCTTATGTTGTAAATAATATGTTTAATGCAAATTTCAGTGTAGGCGAGTCGACCCGTCATAGTACGCGAACAAAAATTCATATTTATATTATACTACGTTTTTTAAGTAAATATTTTTTAATAAAAAAAATATATCCACCGTATGTTTAATAGCTCCCATAACACCAATTAACCATCCAAAGTTTGGTTCTAAAATTACATTGTTTTATCGAATACAAGTGATGGGAGTCATTTTTTTCGTTCAACAAACTGAAGAATCACTAGTCTATCAGTACATAAATCACTAAAGTTTAGTATTTTTACTATTTTTTTCTTCCCGCAAGAATCTAACACATTCAGAATCTACAACCCTATAAAATACTACTATAATACTATAATGGCAGACTCAATTGGTTATTAAATCTTTAGAGCATCTCCAACCGTACGCCAAAACGCAAAAAAATTGAGAAACTTGCTCCAACCGATCGGTAAACGCAAACCCAAAATGGGTTTCTGGCCCCTTTCTCTCTCTGCAAAACGCAAATATGCGTTTGTACTGTAGACAAACGCATATATTTTTTCATATATCATTTTGGCCCATTAATATTTTATGTTGTGCAAAAATATATTTTACAAACTATTTTGTATTTTATATTTAATTATTCAATGTGTAATTTTGTCTATTTATTAGTTTTTCTTTTTTCATTAATATTTTATGTATGCAAAAATGTATTTCAAATTATTTTGTATTTTATGTTTAATTATCTTATCAATTATGTGCAATTTTTTCTATTTATCAGTTTTTTTTTTTTCACATAACTGTTTGTAATAATTTTTATCTCTAATTTATAAATATACATCTTTTTATCATATACAATAAAATAATATTAAAAAATATGAAATATACCCAAATAAAATAAGATATTTATATATGATGGGCACTTTCTATAATAGATTTAATCAAAAAATTAAGAAAATATTTGTAAAAATTTCTAGGACATTCCTAAGAAGTTTTAATTAATTTGTGAAATTTTTAAGAAAATATTGATGACAAATTAAATTAATATAACCGTTTTAAAATATTATTTAGATTTAAAATAAAGAATAATGTACTTTTTACTTACTTGAAAAATATTTATTCAATTTTTTTATTAAGACATATTACTAATTTTAATTAATTTATTATTTTTTCTATCAAATATAAAAAATTATGGGTCTAATTGGTAAAATTATTACAATATGTAGGTAATATTGAAAATTTGTAAAGTTTATGTGAAAGGAATATTTTGAGAATATTCTTTTGGGTTTAGGAATGAGTTTTTCGGTTGGAGATGAATTACTGTATAATATGACAGTTACTGCAAAATGGGTTTGAGAATGGGTTTTTCGGTTGGAGATGGTCTTAAAGACAACATCAAAAGTTTCGAACTTTAAAGACACCAATATTGTACTCCCCACCAACACCAAATGTGTCTGTCCATCACTGTAATATACTTTCACTATAACATGTGCATAACTGTTGGTTTTGATAATCACAGGATGAATCATTTTAGAATGATAATGCCCATCATCAGCCATCAAACCCCAAAAAAAAGCTAACACACACACACACACACACACACACATATATATATATATATATATATATATATATATATAACTTATTTCAGCCATTTCAAATTTTTCAAAAATCATTCAACTTTTGTGAAAAAAAAAGCTGATCATAATTACACATTCTCCCATGTCTCATACTCTCCACTGTCCAGCATTCAAAAACATCTTTTCTGTAAAAAAGCCAAACACTTCTGACAACTATCTAAAACACACACACACACACACACACACTCACACACTCACACACTCACACACTTAAATCACCCCTACAAATTTCTCCTAGTGTTCTCTAGTCACTCAATACTTAACCCAAATTACTCACTTTTTTTTTTTTCTTCTTTCACAAGCAAAATATCAATAAAATTCAGAATCTCATGGGATTCAAGTTTAACTACTTGTTGATTCTCCTCTTTTCTCTTGTCACTCTATCACAATTTCAGTTCTCTCAGGCTTCCACATTTGTGGTTGATGGTGTTTCACAATGGAAAAATCCTCAGGCTCACATAGGTGACACTGTCAGTAAGTTCCCCCCCTTTTTTTTTTCACTCCACATACATCAAATCTTGTGATATTATATAGGATGTTAACAAAGAAAAAAACTAAACATAGCAAATTTTATCTATAAATTTTAATTTTTTTGTGTTTTTTTCTTACTTCCCTTTTTTTTTTCCCTGCAGTTTTCCAGCACAAGTATCATCACTACAGCCTCCACATTTTCAAGAACAAGATTGCATTTTCTGTCTGCAACTTCACTCAAGCTACAATCTTGACAAAGCCCAATTCCACAGTTTACACAGTAAGCTACAAATTTTGAATGATTGTGCTTGTGCATGTGTGTGTTTACTGATAAATTCTTGAGAAGATT